TTTTTTTTTTTTTTTTTTTAGAAAAGTCATGTAAAAATGCATCACATGATACATCAGGCTTTTGAGAAAAAAATGTATCTCAATCATCATTGTATTGCACTATTATATGTTTTGCCCCCAATAAAAACTACAGAGCTTTGATCATAAAACTAAGTATTTACTAAGACATATATTATTGGCAGATACAGAGTGAAAACTGATATTTATATGTATTTTATGTCAGCAGTCTGCTATTCTGTTAAAAAAAAATCTCATTGATTAACATTACAAGCTATCAGAATTTAATCTCACTGTTTAGACATAAAAATGACAACATCTGCACCAAACAGCGTATTTTTGCTCAGTTTGAGCCAAGTCTGATCTCCATATTCTCACTACATGAGCCATAAAAGCCTGATGTACAAAATGATACTCAAAAAGGTTCTCACTTGCATTTGCAGGTAGTGTACTTCACAGACTTCACAGTATGCTATATTTCATTCTGAACACAGTCATCATTACAGTAATGACTAGTGTGTCAGTGCTTTCAGTGCTTGTGTGATCTGAGCAGCTTTACGGCTGTACCTTGTTAGAGCGTAGTGAAACTCTTCCTCCACAGCGAACGCAGAACTTGCTTTGGCAATACGAACAGAGGTGGCCACAGCCGTCGGCAAACTTGGTTTTATGGCAGATTCCACAGGTGGGGGAGTCACTCTTCTGCTCCTGGGTGCTCTGTGCCTCTTCCCCCATCTTACTCACCTGGTCCTTATACATTTCAAATTGCTGGTGCAATTTCCTGCAGGAAACAGAACGCAGCCAATCAGAACACAGCAAGAAAACACATTATAAGTATATAGAATGTGTATTTAATAAAAATAGGAATATACTTGAAAAATAGGAAGGATTTTGTCATGGGTTACAACCAAAAGGACAATTTTATTGCTCAGAGCTTGCGCTTTCATTGCTCATTAGACTTCATTCAATTCATTCATTGTTTAATTCAAATATTAACTTATTTATCTTAAAAACCTTTTAAAAAATGTAAATAAAAAAATCAATAAAAATACAATTGCTGACATACAGTAATAGTACAGAGCTATAAAATTAATATGAAGACTATGATCTCAGACATTTTTTGAAAGAAATTAATACTTTTAATCAGTAAGAATCCATTAAATTCATTAAAAGTGATATATTAAGTAAAACAAATATTAAGCAGCACAACTGTTTTCAACTTTGATAATAAATGTTTATTGAGCAGCAAATCAGCATATTAGAATGATTTCTGAAGGATCATGTGACACTGAAGACTGGATTAATGATGCTGAAAATTCAGTGATATAAATGAAATTTTAAAGTATATCAAAATATTTATATTAAATACATTATTAACTGTAGATTTTGATCAAATAAATGCAGCTTTGGTGAGCATAAGACAAATAAAAAACATTTTTAAAAAATCTTACTGAATGCAAACTTTTCAATGTACATTACAAAAAAATCTAAATTTGTTGAAAACGTTTAAAATCAAAGTAACATGAATACAAATGATACATTTCTAAGAATTTGTCACATGCATTCTGAACTAGATTTTTAACATCTTTGTCATTGACTTTGACAAATGTTTTTATATACATATATATCAGCCATATACAATATAAAAAATTCCATAATAAAATGTTTTTTAATAAATCCTGAAAACAAATATATTGTTCTGAAAGATAAGCTACATTCACAATGAAATGTATGCAGAATGGCTTACAATTGTTTAGTTGGTTGTCAATAAGTACTAGCTCTGGGGCCTGTACCATGAAGCCAGATTAGCTGGCTAGCCAGGTAAGTTTCAGTTTAGTTTGCACCAATCCTGGGTTTTAGGTACCATGAAAGTGGCTTGGCTTTTAGCGGCATTCATTGCCTTAGTAACTTACACTCCACAGCTAACCTGCTCTGGGGCAGGTTATGTTCTGGTTTAGAGATCTCAAAGTGAAATTTGACCAATCAGCTTCAGGCAAGGTGACACATGTCTGACGCAATAAAGCCACTCCCCCAGTTTCTCATACTCCAAATTACTATATATATATATATATATACACACACACACACACACACACACACACACACAAAAATACTAAATTAACACTTAAACTAACGCTGGTTTCCATTGGCCATCAATAGAAAAAACAGGCTTCTTACGAGCAGGTACATATCTTTCTGAAGCTAACCATCCAAACCTCACCGTAGTGCCCACTAGACATGATTTCTGTTTAAGTCAGTGACCTTTCACCCTTCTAAGATCAGATCACACCAATGAGCAGGTCTGCTTTCACCGACCCCTTGACCTCTGCCCTCTTACCCTCCGAACATGTGCATATACAGTATCACTCACTGTCTGACCCCACGCTGCCCTCTCAGATATACGGCAGATATCCTTCAGCAAATGCAATATTAGATTTTAGTCTGTGTCACAAGATCATATGTGTTTGGAGTGACACGACTGAGTAAACAATGACAGATTTTACATTAAACTCTGCGTCTATCCTCCCATATACACCCGGGATCCAGACAGCAGTCAGGTGGATGATGGGAAGGCTGGAGGAGCTCCAGAGGTCTGGCAGGTGCGCTGGCTCAGGTAGCATTACAGACAGCTGGAGACCACAGCACAGCTCACCTCCAGAGATGCATAACCCATAATATAATCATACGCCATTCGTCACGTCTCATCTGACTATATATATACACACACACACACACACACACACACACACACAAAAATACTAAATTAACACTTAAACTAACGCTGGTTTCCATTGGCCATCAATAGAAAAAACAGGCTTCTTACGAGCAGGTACATATCTTTCTGAAGCTAACCATCCAAACCTCACCGTAGTGCCCACTAGACATGATTTCTGTTTAAGTCAGTGACCTTTCACCCTTCTAAGATCAGATCACACCAATGAGCAGGTCTGCTTTCACCGACCCCTTGACCTCTGCCCTCTTACCCTCCGAACATGTGCATATACAGTATCACTCACTGTCTGACCCCACGCTGCCCTCTCAGATATACGGCAGATATCCTTCAGCAAATGCAATATTAGATTTTAGTCTGTGTCACAAGATCATATGTGTTTGGAGTGACACGACTGAGTAAACAATGACAGATTTTACATTAAACTCTGCGTCTATCCTCCCATATACACCCGGGATCCAGACAGCAGTCAGGTGGATGATGGGAAGGCTGGAGGAGCTCCAGAGGTCTGGCAGGTGCGCTGGCTCAGGTAGCATTACAGACAGCTGGAGACCACAGCACAGCTCACCTCCAGAGATGCATAACCCATAATATAATCATACGCCATTCGTCACGTCTCATCTGACACACAGCAGATAGAGAAGTCAAAGAAACACGAGCCAGCACACTGATACGCACTCCCTTTATGAGTGACACTGCAGCCACCTGAAGACCTGCGCTTTACCCGTTTAAGCTACTTACAAATTTGTAGTCGACTTCTCGTGTAATACAAAACCCATGCTTAATGCTGGTCTCTAATGCAGATCTCGTAATCAAATCGAATTGATGGGCCATAATGAGCAAAACATGCCTGTAGTAGCTAGTATTTAAGATAATAAATAAGGCCTGTCAATTTATTACATTAATTTAGCATAATTGATTATATTTAACATAATAAAAATAACATCATATAATATATATATAACATAATAAAAATAATAACTAAATTTGTGAACGTAAACTTAAACTATTCAATATTTTTATTTTCCACTACAATGTAATGCCTTTAAATTATCTTCATTTGAGGACTTTAGGCAAACCGGTAAGTTTTCAAAAAGGTTAAATTTGTTAACATGAGTTGATGCATAAGATATAATGAATGAAACAAACAAATAATATTTTACAGCATTTATTGATACAGGTTGATATTAATTTCTACATATAATAATACATGCACTATTTCTATAAATAAACATTTATTATTATGAATAAACATGAATACATTATTTCATATTGTGTTTACATTTTATATTTTATAAATAATTTTATAATTTATACATTAAAATAAGGGGCAGTTTATATGAAATAAGGCAATGCAAAAATATTTACAATACAAAAACATTTGACATTTAAAGGGGTCATGCGATTTCAAGTTTTCCTTTCTCTTTGGAGTGTTACAAGCTGTTCGTGAATAGATAAGATCCCTAAAGTTGCAAAGACTAAAGTCTCAAACCCAAAGAGTTACTCTTTATAAAAGTTAAGACTTATCCACGCCCTCCTAAAACGCCTCATTTAAACATGCCCCCACATGTCTACATCACTGTGTGAGAAGATTTGCATAACACCGCCCAAATGTTCACACAAAGCAAGAAGGTGCAACTTTGATTCTCGCTGTAGTATTGTTGCCGCCGCTGCCATGTCCTGAAGGCGCTGTGTGTTTCGTTGTGAAAGCGAAACTACTTTGTTTGGTCTTCCAAAAGAGGACACAACTAGAAATCAGTGGTTAAGTTGTATTTACATCACTGTTCCAGAACAGTTCAAACCAAATATTCAGATGTGTACAGCGCATTTTACGGAGGACGAGGACTGTTTCCTAGGTCATGTACATATATTGCGCGATAAGTCGATATATTGATTATTGCGACAGGCCTAAACACAACTAGAAATCAGTGTAAGTAAGTTGTATTTACAACACTGTTCCAGAACAGTTCAAACCAAATATTCAGATGTGTGCAGCGCATTTTACAGAGGACGAGGACTATTTCCTGGGAGAGTAGCCTACAATGCCGGTGTTCTGACAAATAATGCTGACTCACAGACTGGAAGTACGTTTTCATATTTAAAGAATTTGCCACAAGATTCAAACGCGTGTTTTAGGCAGTGTAGAGTAGCGCTTATTGTTTGTCATTTCTCAGATCACAAATGCAGACATGGTTTTATGTTTACGCGGCGCGATGCAACGCGTAAAAAGACAGTATAAGTCATTATAATCAGTAATTATGTCCCCACTGGATGCTACAAATGCCTCGTTTGAGTGTAAGTCATTATAATCCGTAATTATGTCCCCACTGGATGGGTTTTAATGTTTTTGTCTCGTCGCGCCGGGACATACGGAAATACAGTATGGTAGGGGCGTAACATTTCCGTCTCACGCTTGAGGTATTCGGCCAATCACAACGCACTGGATAGCTGGCCAATCAGAGCACACCTCGCTTTTCAGACCGATGAGCTTTGTAAAAATCGACGCGTTTCAGAAAGGCGGGGCATAGAGGAGAAACAATAATGTACAGTATGTGGAAAATAATGTGTTTTTTTAACCTTAAACCACATGAACACATTTCATTACATCAAATACACAAAATAATGTTATTTTTTAGCAACATCATATGACCCCTTTAATATAAAAAAGTGAATGAGCATGAATTAGCAATTAACAATAAACTGTAACATATTTTATATTAAACTGTGTGTATCTATCCATCTATCTATCTATACATTTAATTAAAATTAACAATTAACAAATGCTGTAAAAGACATTGTTAATTTATAATGTCTAATGCATTGATTAATGCTAAAAAAAAAATCAATCTTATTGTAAAGTGTTACCAGCAAAGGTGTAATTAACTGATTAATTCATCAAAATACCATTTAATTAATTTCATTTAACATTTTTGTGAACTGATAGCCCTTGACCATTTATTTAATATTCAGAGTAGGTGAAAGGTGAGTCATATCCACAGAAATGCCACATAATTCAAGGTTTGTCTTGGCAATGTAGCGTTTAGAGGGTTGAGGGCAAAGATAAATCCATTCAGTTTTACTTACGTCTCTGGCTCCTTTGGAGGCTCTATTTGCGGTTGGTTTTGGGACTTTGTCTGGGGCTGGAGAACATTATTAACCAGATCAGTGATTCCACTAAAGGGAAACCACCTGTATGAACAAGCAGACAGCGCAACTCAAAATCCGGTCAACAAGCCTGCTTCCAGTCGACAAACGCGCCATTATCATCATGACAACTGTAGTGCTGCTACATTCATGAGAAAAACACATGTGCAGGGCATGTACAGCTGCAAAAACTACTGGGATAGAGAGAAAGACAGACAGAGAGAAAGACAGGGACAGACTAGTCTCAGCCCACTGACCATCTCATCCATATTGCACACAAAACTGGTCACTTTCTCAGTCTGGCAAGCTCAAATCTGATTGGCCGGCTTTACGGCCAGTAGTGAGAATACACAGGTTTTTATCCCACCAATGATGTACCAGGTAATTATAAACATTTTTGGGAAAATAAATAAATAACTAGACGTGTCAAAGTTGCCCAGTTTAGTTCCAATTTATTATTTTTGTTTCCCCAGACACTTCGTATGAAGTAAACTAGATATGCATGAGCAAAACTTTATATTCGGCTTTGTTTATGAGTTATATCTAAAAAATAAAAAATAAATCAATATTTATTACTTTTGGACAAACAGAAACTCTAATTACAAAGTGCACAACAATTCCACTATATTTTCCAGCATTTCTCATATAGCTGATCTTGGATAGGAAATGCTGTGCAATTTTCCCCACAGTTTTCTACTACTGTGGTAAAAAAAAACATTTCATATTAACTGCCCCTAAATGAAATGTACAAACAAAATGTGCTGTAATTGGTCACTGTACATGTCTCTTTAAGTGGGCGTTTCTTGGTTTCGAATAAAATAAAATAGATTTGCTGAAAAATCTGGCTATGTGAGACTAGAGAAAGAAGAAAAATACGAAGAGAAATACAAAGATATAGAACTGAGAGATGGAAAAACAGAAGAAGAGACACTACCGGAGAAGGAAGCAGAGAAGCCATAGTGAGTTAAATGAATTTTGCATCCATCAGCCAGGGATAAGGTCGAGTATCCACAGAAACAGAGAAAGAGATCAAACAGTGTCAATGTGCAACTCACAGAGTCGACGAACAAGCAAAATAAAGCAGGACTGATGCATCCAGCCTATATGTGGATGAAGCTGCCAAAAGCTTTTCAGATCGAGCCATGACAGACTGCGGGCAGCCAATCACTAGAGAGAGGAGGGGAAAAGAGCCGCCAATCACAGAGGAAGCCACAGCAAACGCACACGCCACTAACCAGCCAGGCAGGAATGTCAAAGCCTTGAGGTCTCTAGCTAAGATCAGGCCCACACAGAATCTGTGTATGGACAAAAGCTGCAGAATTTGAGCCACAAAGAAAGTTCTGCCCCTTTATTGTTTGTTTACTTAATGCTTTGGCGGATTTGATTATGATTTGACTTGCCAGTAAGAGTATTCTGCAGCTTTTGTGGAAAAATGTGGAAAATGGGGGAAAAGTCCACAGATTCTGCCTAGGCCTGACTCTGAGTGTTACTTACTGGACTGGCTGAGACTTTTCATCTTCTTTGACCCTAAAAATAAAAAAATAAATAAGTGAACATAAGAGCAGGATGAAAACAGAAATAAAAGACAACATAAGTGTCATTCTAATAAAAAAACAAACAAACAGTCAAATAAAGAACAACACATGTAATATACAGGGCAGTATGATGACATATGGCTTAAAAACTGACAATCATAATCGTGTTATCGTTATTATGTTAAGTGTCATTCTAATGAAAAAACAAACAAACAGTCAAATAAAGAACAACACATGTAATATACAGGGCAGTATGATGACATATGGCTTAAAAACTGACAATCATAATCATATCCGTGTTATTATGTTAGGTTTACAGACAGATTTTTTTTAAACAAAAGGTATTACCCAATTAATTCCTAGTTTGATTTGTTATGAATACAATACCAAATGCAAAATTAAATATTACATATATCTTACCTTTTGATTTGATTATATATAATCAAGTATCAAATATATATAACCAATTATATATAATTTCCAGTAAGAAATGTTATGATGTATAGCTTTACTGTGAAGTAAAATTACTCATTTTTAAGATTCAATAAGATACCAACCATTTGCCACTACATGTGAATTAAATATGCAAACAGATATGAACATGATCATTTTAAACCTATACACAAAAAGAAAACATGTAAACACAAGAAACATGTAAACCACTTAAAATATAACAAATATTTAAAATAAAAAGAAGTAAATAATAGAAAACAGGTAAACAGAAAAAGAAACAAGAAGAAAGAAGAAAGTGAAGTGACAAGTATGGTTACCCATACTCAGAATTAGTGCTCTGCATTTTAACCCATCCAAAGTGCACACACACAGCAGTGAACACACACACACCGTGAACACACACCCGGAGCAGTGGGCAGCCATTTTTGCTGCGGCGCCCGGGGAGCAGTTGGGGGTTCAGTGCCTTGCTCAAGGGCACCTCAGTCGTGGTATTGAAGGTGGGAAAGAGCTGTACATTCTCTCCCCCCACCTACAATCCCTGCCGGTACGAGACTCGAACCCGCAACATTTGGATTACGAGTCCGACTCTCTAACCATTAGGCCACGACTTCCCCTTAAAAAAAAGACAGGGGAAAAGTCTCAAAAAGACATTAACTTTCTGCATTCCACGGACACCTTGCGTGAGTCGACCACAGAAAAAAAACACCGTCCACAACACACAGTCCATCAGACTCAATGTGTTGAGCTTAAGACTCAATTAACGCATGAATACAATAAAATCTATTCCAATGAAAGAGGGTTAATGAACACCATAAATCAGAAGTCCTGAAAAAAAACTGCATATCAATCCTTCAGGACAGCATTCAAAGCAGTTTCAGATCATGTTTTGCTAAACGTGGACTCCCTTTTTTACCTGTCTGGGATCTATTTGAGACCTGTGCATTTGAAACACTTGAAGTTAAAAATTGTAAATTGCAAAATGGTAAAACAGTGTGGCACTGCCCCCTAATGGTTAAATATTAAGGAACAGATGTCAACTTCTGCATCTGGATCACAGGAAAAAGTGCAGCAGTTTCAAACTTGGGAGAAAAAAAAATAATACATTATATATATAGATATATATATATAGAGAGAGAGAGAGAGAGAGACAGAGAGAGAGAGAGAGAGAGAGAGAGCTTTTGTCCATTCGTTTTGTATTTAGTTTGACTGTGTGGCGAGTCAGCTTCCTCCGGTTTCAGTCACATATTAGCATGGTGTTTTCGTGTTAAATTGCAGAAAAACTGCACTAGTTGAGACTTGACTTTGTTTCAACCAAATTATCCCTCTTTCTTAGCTGTTCTCAGACTGTTAATTTAACCTCAAATGACGGTCCTCGCTCCTCCTCATCCCTCTCTGTTCTCTCTGTGGTGCTCTTGAGTGGAGGTGGAGACAGAGGCCTCATTGATGTGACAGCTATAGAATGAGAGCTGACTCATCACTTTAAATAACACACCCCACATCTCACCATCAGACTCTCAGCGCGCTCCTCTTAAGGGACTATTCCTGCTTATTTTCAACTTAACATCCACCAACTCCATCTGTGGCCATACATTTGAATCAGTTTTGAAGAAACAAAACTGGATCAGTAATGTACTTACAACGGAGGCCTAGTATAAAATCCTTGTAGAGGGTTAAAAAAGCAGAAATGCACCTTGTCTAAAAGTTCTGCTCCAGTTTTTGTTACCATATGATATTTACGTATATACATTCTTACCTACAAGATTGTGTATTAGAGGTGTAAAACATCCTTAAAGATCATCCTTTTGTGGTGGGACTAAGTGGATGACTTCCGGTTTGTACATTCCTGAATATATCATCATACATTATATATAAGTGGAGTCTGCTCGATGCAAACAGTGGCTATGTTCAAACTAGCATTTTACCATCACAGTAGTCTGTGAATCTGTTGAACAGTATGCACATTTTCTTGAATGCATGCAATATATGAATTATGCATGAATTATTTTTGGAATGGATACTGATGAACAAAGAAGATGCTTGCTGCCAACATATAGTACAGTTATGACATATACCAGCACCAGCAGAGGCTAACAGGGCCATGCTAAACAGCTAAACCCCAACCCCTTTGGCTATTTCTAGCAGAAACTGATAACTTCACTTACAACCCCTTTTAATAGTAGTGTTTTATTCTCACTTCCTCAAAGCATTATAAACAATATGATATGTAAACAGGACTCTTTATAATTTATATAAGGTCACTTAGAAATGAACATACTCTGCGGTACTGATAGTTGCAATGTTATTAGGACAGCGTGGCATTGTGTGAGGTTGTGTTAATCTTTACGCAGTGGAAACACTGGATTATAAATTTGTAAACACATGTTGCGACCATTACCAGAACATGTTGCATATGAAAAACAGTACTTCAGTACTCGTAGCATTAAAATGACTAACTGGAAATAAATATAAATTAAAATTTAACTAAAATTAAACCTAAACAGTATTAAAAAAAAAAAAAAGTGCCTAACAAAATAGGACTCAAAATATAAAAATTAAACCTAATCCAAAATATTAAAATAGCGTATATTGTAAATAATACTAAAATAACACTGACCCGCAGCCCTTGAACAAGTGCTGTTGCTCATTTCATAAAGCGGCCAATAGCTACGGATTTTACATAAATTAAAACCACAACAGCAAAAACGTGTTTAATTAAAAGGGTCAGACAGCCATGTCAAGAAATAAACCGACTACAGAGGAAAAAAAAAAAGCATAATATGACCCGTTTTTCAGCTAGCACTAAAGTGCTGCTCTGTCTGAAGTGTGTGTGAGTGTGAGTGTGAGTGTGTGTGTGTGTGTGCAAGCCCTGTCCAGATTTAAAAAGTAACGCAAAAGTAACAATGCTTTACTTTCCATAAAAAGTAACTAAGTAACGTAATTAGTTACTTTTTTTATGGAGTAATGCAATATTGTAATGCATTACTTTTAAAAGTAACTTTCCCCAACACTGCATATGCATATACATACACATACACATACACATATACATACACATACACATATAAAATGCAAGATATAGTTTCAGGGCCAGTACGTATAAGACTGGCATGAGGAAAAAGGTTTATTTTTCACCCTGGGTACATAGACATGAAATTTACGCTATCGTTTAAAGGTTTGAGGTCAGTAAGATTTTTTTTTTTAAAGAAATTAATACTTCTATTCAGCAAAGACAAATTAAATTAATAGTAAAAAGACAGTAAAAACTTTGGCGTTGTTACAAAAGATTTATATTTTATACAAAGTTCTTTTGAACTTTATAATCATAAAAAAAATCCTGAAAAAGCTTCCAGAAAAACTAAGCAGCAGCACAACTGTTTTCAACATTGATCATTTCAAATCAGCAAATCAGCAGATTAGAATGATTTCTGAAGGATCATGTGACACTGAAGACTGGAGCAATGATGCTGTAAATTCAATTCCATTTTAAAATATAATAAATTGGAAATAGTTATTTTAAATTGTAATACTATTTACAGTATTACGGTTTTACTGCATTTTTGATCAAATAAATGTAGCCTTGTTAAGAATAAGAGACTTAAATATTTTTTAAAAATCCACCAACCCCAAGCTTCTGAACAGTAGTGTATGTCTGTGCAAATAATAGTTGAAAACACTCAGGAATATTTATTTAAAGTTTAAAACATGGTCTAAGCATAAGATTTAAGATGGCAGAATTGTGTGAATGAGTGTGTGACAGGTGGAGGGACAGTATGAGACCAGTTCATTTTTATGAATGTGGAAATCTGCTTGTGCGTGTGTGGCAACAGGTGGCAGAATCACTGTAGGAGCAGAAACGGTGTAATCTCTTGCCAGAAAAAGCCTGGTCAACATGACCTCCGCTGAACCATCTGAGAGACCACAGAGTGCCACTGAATAAACACACACACTTGATTAAACCAAGTTGCATTAAGAGCCAGAGTATGTGTGTGAGTGTGAGAACAGGCTCACTTCCAGAACCTAGCGAGTCATCTTGCTGCCTACTGCTAATAAGGTATAGCATTCCTCATAAGTGAATGATTTTGCATGTTTTACAAGGAAAGAACTCCATTAGCCACACAACTAGAGCTGATTTTAAAAGAGTTTGGTCTTAGTAAGTTGCTATTGAGTTAAATAGTCAGTTTCCAATCAGAGTGAACTATTCGATGTGTCAGCATTTAATAATGTATTTAATGAAATCCAATGCTTGCTTGCTTAATTATTTTTGCAGTTCCAAAATCATTTGTGCTGATTCCAAAATCACTTTCTCACAAAATATGATGTGCATTTCATAGCATTTTTGGTTTCAACAACCCTTTGTATTATTCTTTAATCACCAGAAAAACTGACACAAAGACATGAATCCTGTTTGTCAAGTTAATTTGAGTCAACTATATGTTAAATTCTCATCTGATTTTCACATGTATGAATGATTCTTAAAACATTATTTTATGCATAATCCCGATTTCAAGGTTTTAATTATGGCCAGTGACAGAAGAAAAT